TCAGTAAATCTAATCTTCAGTATGTCTCTTGGTTCCTTATGCAGACACTGTCTTTAGCCACTGTTGCCTGGGGATGCTGCTACCAACTCTCCTGACAGTGACAGTTTCAAGTCAGGTTATATGCTTTCAATCTCAGCTCTGGATATTCAGTTGCCATTTCTCAGGGGACTATTTCCCCTTGCTGTGTCTCTCATCCACCTATATGCATTGTCTCCTACTAGACCAGTCTTCTAGGGATTTGGCCATTGGGCAAGGAGGGGGAGGAGGTTAATTAACTTGTTCACCACAGTCCAAAAGCTTAGTAAGTGTCAGAGGTGGCAAATGGACTTAGGGCTCATGGTGTCCAGCTTTCACATGCCATCCATTATTTTACACTGCCCCTCCAGTCAGATCCTACTTACTTTATGTAGGTAAGGACTTGAGTCCAAGTTTTCTTGATTTCAAGGCCATTTGTCTATCCCTTAGGACACACTATCAGTCATCTTGTTTTTGGATCTGATTTAAATCCTTACAAAGACTTATTTTAAATCAGCACAACAATTATCTATGGTGCAGCTCATAAGATCATAGGATTGAGAACTGAAAAAAGACTTCAAAGGTTATCTACCCCCTTATTTTACAAATAGGAAATTAAGACCCAGGGAAGTTATGATTTTTAATGGTGTGAATGAAAATAAGTAAATGAACACAGAAATAAATATAAACCATCATGAGAGTATTACCTGCAAGGCTGAATCTCTGAAATTCAAGGATGGTCCTTTTAATTCTCTCATCCAGTCAATATATCAATATGTTTACTGTAGGGGGAAAAGGCATGCCTTATTTTTCTCCAAATTACGAATGGAGTGTGAATTGGTTATGAAAATATGTTCATGGGTCTAATCCAATCATTTTTCCATGAGTAAAACAATGCTAGACACATTTTTATTCTATTAAAATTAGCTCTTCAAGATGGACCAGTATTCTGGAAAATCAAATTTTCTGGCTTTGCTATCTTAAAACTCCTTTCAAATAGTTTGTCACTGCTTCTGTTTCTGACATCTGTTTCTCATGGATAACTACTGTGACTGAATGAAGCATTCGAGGTCTCAATCATGTTCCAATTTCTTTTCCAAAAAGTGTTAGACTCTCTTCTCTTACAAAGTTTTATGTGTGTGTGTATGATACACACACACACAAAATAAGCATACATATGAATGTTTGCATAATATGTATATATATATACATGTATACATACATGCATATGAAATCACAATATAGTGTGTATGTATAGCTTTCTTTTTTCAATTGATCAGTGTCTTCTATGACTACTAACCTGATTTCTTTGCTTGAGATGTATCACAAAATATGGCACTAATGATTTTTTTCCTTGATTTATCTTTTGTGGCTTGTAGCATAGGAAAGTCTTCATATGCACAAGTATACAACCAATACATCCTTACCCCCGCCAAATTCCTATCACATGTTTACTTAGAGCAAAGATTCATCAAGGAGCACCACTTAGCTGTCTTTATCATTTTTTTACACATGCACACTCCCATATAGCTCATTGCCTTCATCTTTCTTTTTTTAAAGCAGCTAATAAAATAACTTACCTTTCCTTCTGTTTCATAAGTTAAATAAGCATGGTTCTGACTTTTGTTTCCTTAGTGGACAATAGAGCAGTGTAAATATACTAAAGGGATACCCATTTTCAAATTAGCAGTGATTTTTACTATAGCCTAAGGAAGACAAATAAGTATTTAATTTTGCCATAATTCAGCAGAGCTTTCCTTTGTACCTCAAATTTTATGTGGACCAGTACTCTGCATGAAAACAATACAGTTTAGCTAAAATGTTTCAAAGCCTCTAACTAGAGTGTGAATTTATCATGATCTACAGGCGGGCTAGATTAAACCATCCTCTCCACACTCCTGTGGAGTTCCCAATAACTGGGAAATCTGTGAGGTGCAGAGAAAAACAAGATACCCCAGCATCCTCCAGTGAGTGAAGATGAATTTTCACACACTAGCTTGGATTCTATAGAACCTGAATCTCTAGGTTATACAGTAGGAATTACTGTAAATCCTTTTTGGTCAAGCTGGTTCTGTAAAGGGAAACAGATGTACTAAACATCAAGGTTTAAATTGAGCTGAATATCAAAATTCTTAAATTCAGTGATTTTTTTTGGGGGGATAATGCAAGAGGGCTCTGGTATCCTTTTTTTTAAAAAATTCTATTATAGCCCTGAGTAATACAGTCTAATTAACGCAGCATGATTTTAGTGTGACCTCCTGAGGTAAATGTTTTGAACTGAGCCAGAAGCATTTGATTACTGCTAGAGACAGTATTCAAAGGCTTTATTCTTATTCTGCTAAGTTCTCTCTAAGGCTAGAAGGATTTGAGAAGATAGAGATGGGGTCTTATGCCTGAGCAGTCTCTTTAAGGTAAATGGAAAGCCAGGTTTTGTTTTGTTTTGTTAAATAACACACTTCCATAGGTAGATAAGAATCCCAATATTTATAACAGCTGATATTTACATAAGGATTGTAAAGTTATATATGTTAAATCAATTTGATCCTCAGGACAAGCCTGTGTAGTTGCAATTGTCATCCCCATTTTAGAGATAAAGAAACTGAGGCTCAGAGAAATGAAATGACTGTCCATGGTCACACAGCTAGTAATTGTCAGAGGCAGTCTTCAAACTAAAAAGAGCAAGTGAAAAGAGGATTGACTGGTTCTAGAATCAGAATTAGTTCAAATTCCCTCTGATTCTACCTATCTGATCTTGGACAAGCAGTTTATCTTCCCTGGACTTCAGTATCCTCTTCTGTGAAAAAGAAGGAAGATAGACTACATGATTGTTGATGTCCCTCTCCTGTTTAGATCTATAATCTATTCTATGATTCCAAGCCAGCACACCAGACTCTCAGTAATTTGTGTACCTTGCATACATTATCTCTTTTGAGCTTCACAATAATTCTTCAAGGATCCCTAAGAATATGGATAACCCCTCCAAACTTTTCATTAGTTATTATAGAAAAAAAGTAATCACCCATCCAATAAAAAGACTTTTTCCAGCTCTGCTGCATTGGTTCTTGGATCCATGGACATTTTGTCCATTACTGGGCAATACCCGCCTTCTCATCTTTAGAATCTGTCAGAGCTCATGTCACTGGCATGGCCTTTGGGAATCCAGTGACATCTCCCTGCAACAATGGGGCAAGAGAGGAATTCGATGGAGTAACATTAGAGAAATCTAAAATAGAGAAAAAATCAAAATTTTAAAATTAAAGAAAATGGCCTTTCAAAGTGACGGATAAAACTGATTTCAATGGACTGCTTCATAATTTATAGGTCCCATTCCTTTTTTGATTTGATGACACCGCCCAACCCCCACACCACACACAATAACTATCCCACAATAAAACCTATTGAATTGGAGGTCGGGTGGGAATACTCTTTCGTCTCTGGTTTATATTATCTAGCTTTTTTTTTTTTTAAATGTGAGTTACCAGGAAACAGACTACCTTTTTGTCAATTAGTGATCCTTAGTTTTGTGTTTGTGCGCCTGTGCGAGGGAGAGAGAGAGAGAGAGAGAGAGAGAGAGAGAGAGAGAGAGAGAGGAGATATGAGATGAAGAATGGAAGGGGGTGGGGGGCACTGTTCGCTGCTGTCATGACACAACAGCCCTGATCTGGGTGAGAAGCAGCATCTCTTCTCTTCAGCCAGATTGGATGGGAGTGACTGATCGGGAGAATAACCGTGGACCCGTTACTCAAACCTCTGATTTTAGGGGCAAAACAAAACAAAGAAAAAAAAAAGTCGCCAAATACGATCTAGGATAAAAAGGAGGCGAAATAGGACCAAACAGATAATATGCAAACGGAGGAAGGAAAATACAGCCTCTTGGGCTTTGAATTGATTTTTTTTTCTTGCCTTGAGAAAAGGGGGGGATGGGGGGGAGCCCCACGTGTCTTAGAAAAGCTTGTAGAGTTAAAGCGCCACCTTCAGTTGTCTAGAAGCTGAGAAAGCTGATGTCCACCAGAATACAGCAGCGTCTCTGGGAAAGCTGAAATCACCCAGCATGATGCTACCAGGCAAATGGAAATCAAAGAATCTAGTCTCAGATTTTACACCCACGATTTCAAACCCCTCGGCCTTCGTCGCACCTCCCCCACCCCCTTAACAGAATGCATGCTGAGGGTAGAGGGTATTGAAGGACAAGAATCCAAATAGGGGGATTAAGATGGAGTACAGAAATCTTTCAGTGACCTAGGTACAATAGCAGAAACGGTTCTAGCATGGGAGGCAATATCTCTAGGCGTGACCGCCTTAGTGTATCCACCTCCGCGAGTGGCCCATAGAGAATGGAGACATACGCCTTGGTGGCACGGAGAGAGAACGCATAGATGCATAGCAGACGCATATATTTTAAAATAACACATTTCTAGACATGCTTTTCCCCCACCTCCAGCTTTCCAATGAAGCCCCGCAGGCGGGGCAAAGGGGGAGGAGAAGGGGAGTTAATAAAGGAAGCTGGGCGGAGCTGACAGCCGACGATTGGCTGGCCCAGGGAGTGATGTCACCCATATGACACCCTGATAACTAGTTGGGAGAGAGCCCTCAACTTTTTGCAGAAGGAGTGCGCGCGCCCGGGAGTACTTGGGGTCCGGCGGTTGCGGCAGGGAGCGCATTCGAGCCGGAGCAAGAGGGGTCCTGCGCTGCCGCCGCTGCCGCCGCCGCCACTGCCTGTCTCTGCCCAGAAATCTCGCTGCCGCCGCCGCCACCGCCGCCACCTCCACCGAGACCGCAGCGGGTAGCAGCCGCCTAAGCCGCTGCAGCCGCTGTGTGCAGCTGGAGGAAGAAGGGGGTGGGGGGGAGGGGGGAGAAGAAAAAGGGGGTACGGAGGACTTTGCAACTTGCCTGGGGAGCTGGGGGGGGGTGGGTGGGAGGGGGAGGGGGCTTGCCGCACAAGAGAAAGTTGCTTTGGGTTTTAACGCAACGCACAACGCCCGACCATGGTGCAGCAGGCAGATAGCCTGGAAAGTGAGGTCAACCTGCCCCGGGAGGCGATGGACACGGAGGAGGGTGAATTCATGGCTTGTAGCCCGGTGGCCTTGGATGAAAGCGATCCGGACTGGTGCAAAACGGCATCGGGCCACATTAAGAGGCCGATGAACGCTTTCATGGTGTGGTCTAAAATCGAGAGGAGAAAAATCATGGAGCAGTCCCCAGACATGCACAACGCGGAGATATCCAAGAGACTGGGGAAGCGGTGGAAAATGCTGAAAGACAGCGAGAAGATCCCCTTTATCCGGGAAGCGGAGAGGCTGCGGCTCAAGCACATGGCCGATTACCCTGACTACAAGTACAGGCCCAGGAAAAAGCCCAAAATGGACCCTTCGTCCAAACCTAACGCTAGCCAAAGCCCTGAGAAAAGTGCCGGCGGGGGCAGCAGTGGAGGGGGAAGCAGCAGCGGGGGCGGTGGCGGCGGCAGCAGCAAGAATTCTAAGAGCTCCAGCAAGAAATGTAGCAAACTGAAGACCTCTTCATCCTCCTCTTCGACCTCGTCCTCGTCCACATCCTGCCCCAAGCCTGGACCCGGTAAAGCAGCTCACCACGGGGACTACGCAGGCGAGGACTTGGTGTTTGGCACCCTCAAAGTGAATGGCGCGGGAGGCGGTGGCGGCTGCAGCAAAACGGTCAAATGCGTCTTCATGGACGATGAGGATGAGGACGAGGAGGATGAGGACGACCTTCAGCTGCGGATCAAGCAGGAGCCAGAGGAAGAGGACGAGGAGCATCCAGGACGTCAGCAGCAGCAGCAGCAGCAAGCCCAGCAATTGCTCCGGCGCTATAGCGTCGCCAAAGTGCCCGCCAGCCCCACGCTGAGCAGCTCGGCGGAATCCACCGAGGGGGCCAGTTTGTACGAAGAGGTGCGGGCCGGCGCGACCTCCGCCGGGGGCCACGGCGGGGGCGGCAGCGCCAGCCGCCTCTACTACAGCTTCAAAAACATCACCAAGCAAAGCGCCCAGCAGCTGCAGCAGCCCAGTCTGTCCCCAGCTTCCTCGCGCTCTGTCTCCACCTCCTCCTCCTCCAGTTCCAGTTCTAGCAGCAGTGAGGAGGCTGATGACCTGATGTTCGATCTGAGCTTGAATTTCTCCCAAAATCCCCACTCGGCGACCGAGCAGCAGCTGGGGGG